GTGATTGGCCCATTGTCGGACGATGTCTATCGCGTTCCCTTTAAAGTGTATGCACCCTGTGTCTGACTTGACTTACACTGACTTGCATCGACGCTCTGTACCGTGCTCTTGTCTGAGTAGACTCTCTGTCTGACAGACTGGTCTTCTCACTGTCTCTCTTACGGGCTCCTCGGGAACCGGTTCGTGCTTATTACTAGTACCAGGTGCGGGTCATAACAGTATTCTACCTTAGCACCACGGGCTCGTTGCTTTGTCGGTTGTGGTCGGAAATAGGATGAAACTGGGCTGTTCATCCGATCTATCTCACTCCGGATTATACTTGTCCCGTTGTGCCTTGAGGCTCGTGCTTGGGTGATCGCAGGCAGTCGCTGAGCAACTTCAGACATATGATGCAGTGGAATCGACAAAAACCAGGGAGACTGGAATGGCCATTTCTGGCTTGTTAGTCATCAGCCAGTCATACCCAATCTCAAGAGTCAGAAACCCCGAGATTCGAACCCGGGACTTCTGGTCATTGAGTTTAACACTCAACCACTGCACCACGGGCTCATTGTTTTGGCGATCAGGAATATGATTAATGGTAGAGCACTCACCGATCTGGTTACCGAACGTGCTCGTCCTGCTTTGCGTTGGAGCTTCTTTCTGGTAGGTTTTAAAGCCTACATTCTCTACCAGCCGCCCACTGGTCAAGTTTTAACCTTGAGGGAGACGTAGGTTGCCACCTTACAAGCGCGCTGATACGTGTTTTCTATAAAAAATTAATAGCTGTATTTGTAGGAGCATCGAAAACTTGTAGGAAAATGCATACTACTTAAGTGCTGTACAGAGTTTACTTGATGTAAGTCGTAGGAAAAGGGCTTCTTTAAGAGTTGAAATCCTGATGTGAAATACCTGAGGATTATGCTTTACGATAACTAATGCCACGACTACTTAAGTAGTATTTTCTGAGCGTAAACCAACTTGACAATTTCAATTAGCGTCTCATGAGATGGCCCATCTGCTGTCTGGACGGTCGTGTTGAGCATCTATACGTCGGAGACAGATATAAATGGGAGCCAATAGTTGTCCTAAGTCTGATTTCAACCAGAAATAATTACAATGATGAGATTGTAATGTTAGTTACATTGCAGGGTAGTCGTAAGGTACTAACTAGGATGCTAGCTTTTGAGTTTTCGTCTTTTCCATCTGCAAAAATCGTAATCGCTATGACTGAATACTTAATGACTTCGATTTTTTCTTTGATTTTCAATGCCTTTGTCAATTTAATCATATCCCAAGGAAAACATGTACACAAATGTTTCTTCTGCTCATTTGACGGTTAAATAAATTTTCAATCTTTGTACTCGAAGTATGTTATAAAAATGGCAATTATGAGATTTTTTAAGACATTAAATTTGTTGATTCAAATGGCATTGTATCTGTGCTTATAGTTAATTATCCTTGTAAGGTATATGACATGTGCCTTGTGCATTATTTAATTTTATGGCACCTTCAAGGTATATTCATGTTTTTGTACAGAAATGTGTGATTATTCTTAAATGGCAGGTTGGCCTCAAAATTATTCGGAAATTAGAACACTTTTTAAGCTCTAATAAGCCTCCTTTTGAAGCACGAAAAAATCAAAATGCCTACTTTACTGTAAAATAAGAACTAGAAAGGATATTTGTGTGCATACTTTCTATACTATATGTTTAGGTCGCAACCCCGTTTGTGTTTTAAGTCGAAGTTTTATCAACTTTATTTATCACTAAGTGGTTTTACTCGACCTCGTTCCCGTGTAGATTTACTGGCCTGAAGAGAATTTGTCGAAAGCAAACGTGCGCTCGCCACCTAGTCTCCTAAATGTTTTTGATTGGAAAGACGCACGTTTCAAAATCCGGCATCCTGGCTTGACTTAAATGACTTAGGATTATACTGCAGCATAACCAGTCGTGCGACTCTGCCTTATTAATCTTCAATAAATAGACTATCCTTCAGGATTTTAATTAATATTTCAGAATTTGCGCCACCTACTGTACTTCGCAGATAAACACTAGGCTTTTGTCAAATTCCAACGCCTTCACTGCCTCTACTAATCCTCCGTTCGTAGATGTGTCTCTAGAAGGACTGTGGCCGGTCAAGTGCATAGCCTCCTCTACGGCTACGACTTCCTGGGTGACGGTTGCCTCTGCCTAGCTGTCCTTACATCACAGGGCCTCCAGGTACTCCAGTGCAAATCAGAAACTGTGATGGACCTCCTAGAACGGCGCCTGGATTGTCTCTTCACTGAATCCAAATCATAATATCTACTTGCATTCATTTGAGTAGCCAGACTATTGTACAGTTATTTACGCGTACCCTAATCATGAGCATGTCCTTTGATACATAAAAACAACTGATCTTCCTCATCTTTGAAAAGTCCCAGATACTCTTTGCCTTCTTCTCCTTCCTCATTCGGTTTTCGGGGGTTTAAAGAGGACTACGCACTGAGTATTACAGCATGCGACCGGTAATCTTCTCTATCTGCCTCTTTGACGCCTTCTCACTATGACCCCCGTCTGGAAGGGTGAGGCGGATCTCCGTTTGCCTTGCTTTTTGCCCTTTGGGTTCATTCATCGCACAAGGACAGTCTTTCCTCCGTTTATATCCAGACAAGCTGGTCGCTATGTGAAGGTCTGTAAGCACCACC